TACCTGTGCGGCTGGGGGAGGAGGGGCGAAGGGCCCATCGCCAACCCCCTCCCCCCCCTTGAATCCGTTTATAGTTCAGGTTCATTCTTACCTAGACAGCGCTATTCACTCCAGTACAAATACTGATATTTATACACACTCAGCAAAATTTCTTCGTGTGATGGATTTATACGGTATCCTGCAAACTTGTTATCCATTTATAATAAAGTGCGGTGCCGCAGTAGCCGGCGCGATCATGCGTTTTGTGCAATTTCGACCAACTGACGTTTGCTTGTTAAGGATTTTTACTGTTTTACGCTTTGGTCTCTGAAAAAACTGTCGATATGCTATTTGGTTCCTAAGCTGCGAAATTTCCCATTAAAAATTTCATGTACCACTATTTGAAACGCAGACGAACATGAAAGCTGGATTTGAAACCTGGACGGTGAACACTGTTCCAAATTTCAACCCCCTAGTTCTCTGGCTTCCGAGTAACTTTCGTGCCAAATCTTCCAGGTGGTCTTACGTGAGGTCTCATCATCCTTCGGAGCTAATTTCGAGTTTGTTAAGCCCCTGCATAAGCAGAAAACATCCTCCTTGAGTTTCGAGTCTCCTAGCTCTTCTCGCTCTCGAGATAATTTTTCCAGTAGAACTTTCAAAGAGCCGTACGCAAGACTCAGGCTTACGTGAAAGCTAAATTCGAATTTTCGGGGTTTTATGTGCATAAGGAACACTTCTCTAAAATCTCATCCTCCTAGGCTTCGTGGTCCCCAAGATAATAATTTTCCCCGCCAAAACTTTCACGGCACCGTACGTGATGGCCGGGCGTGTGGGAGGGGCAAACACACACACGCACACACACACATACGCACACACACACGCACGCACACACACGCGCACACACACACGCACGCACACACACACGCACACACACACACACACGCACATACACACACACACACACACACACACACTGAGAGGGCCGTTGTAATATGCGTTTTTGTTGCCTGTGCAGCGCTTAGCGCTGCACGGCAAAAACGCATAATAAATGGCCAACGCACGGGCTGCCCGTGCGAAGATG